TCCCTATAATTATTGCTACGTGCTGTACCCTCCATAATATTTGCAAAGAGAAGGTGAAAGCTTCAGTCAGAGCTGGACTGCTAAGGCTTTGCTCTTGGAAGCAGAGTTTGAACAGCCCGAGACCAGGCCTATTAGAGGAGCACAGTGTGGGGCCACAGGGATCAGGGATGCCTTGAAGCAGCAATCCAATGCTGAAAGTCAGTAAAACTTGTTGCAATGCTTGGGAGTGCAGTGGCTGCATTGCCACTTGGTTATTCTGATTAGTGCTAAGTGCCACATATGCACTAGCTTTGCTAGGGCACACTTGCTTGCTTGCAATGGAATAAAGACTGCTTTGAAACACATGAATTTCATTTATTAAAAACAGTAAATGTAGAACACGTGAAGCACACAAGTTTACGTGTGAACACATGAACATCTGCACTTGATGGGAGACAGGAAGGGAAGGGCGGAGACGCAGGTGCTGAGGCATGTCTCAAGAGTAGCTTTGTCATCTGATGTGCTGTGCAAGGAGGGCTGCAATTCATCAGCTCTAAACTGCACTTTGCTGGGAGATAAGTGCATCAGGAGCCTGTGGTAGTCTGCATGGAAGGAGATTGAGGGGGCAAGATGTGGAGTGCAGCAGGTGCCACCTGGGGACAAGGAGGTGGCCAAATAGCATTGGTGGTGACAGAGAGGTGTATGGAAAACAATTTTGGGACACGAGCTGCAGGGGGGCCACTCACACAGTTGCTGCATCTGAAGTGCTAGCAATGTGCAGTGTATTCTGCTTGTCACTCCATAATGTTCCAGAGCTGCTCCATACTCTCTCTCTGCTCCCTCCACTACTTCAATTCTTTCTACTCAGCAGCAGCGTGACTCAGGATGTCATACAAACTCCTCGAATCCTTCAGGAGCCTCTCCACAGGCAATATCACTTCAGACTGGCATGCCAACATCAGCTCTGTCAAGGCACAAATGCAACATGTTAGAAAGGGTCCACTGAAATACTAGACATAGCACTGTCCTGAACCATTGTCAACACAAGAACTGTTGACACACCTAGTAGTGACTTACTGTCCCAGAGCAAGTGCACATAAGATACAGGAACCCCACAATGGTGAGCTCACCACTGTGGCAGGGGAGCTCCTTGGTGCACCGAGGCAGGGATTTTTATGCATGCCAGGGAGCAGGGGTTTTCATTCATATGGGGTCATACTGAACTCTGGGCAAGTGTGACTTGGGGAAAGACTGCCAGGAGACCCTGATCATTAGTAATAGCCACTCAATTTCCACAGGCTGTGTTTAACCTAGAAGACAATTTGCTGCTTAGTGAGCAAGGAAACAAAAGAGGGTCCTTTTACTCAACTGTGGATTCTGTCCTGGAACACCCCTGAAGTGACGTCCCCACCCCCACACTGATGGTATAGTGTCAACGGAATGTCAGCCTTCATGGGACAGGGAGCACAGTTGTGCTGCCAACAAATGTATGAAGACACCTGGCCCAGCAGCTGCATGACACTTTCGATGAGATCTGTGGGGCAAATTACAATGAAGCAAGAGATTGCATCAACACCCTGTTCAGCATCTGAACAGCCCAGCAGCACACGGAACCAAGCCTCCTTTCTGTAACCCACTCCCAGCAAGTCACTCCAACGCTTCCAGAAATCAAACCCACTTACCAAGCACATCCTTCACAGCCTCTGACTGCTGCAACTGGCTCGCCTCATCATGAGTACAAAACAGATCCTGACTGCATCTGTGGATGATGAGTCATCCTCTGGCTCTGGGTCCCCCTTTCCCTCTGCACACTCATCCACAATATCTTTTTCCTGGCCCAGTCCACTGTGCGATGGCCTGAGGTCTCAAAGTATCCACCAAGGTTGTCAGAACTGAGGTGGAGTCACCTCCAAGTATTTCATCCAGCTCTTTGAAGAACCAGCAGGTCATGGGTGCAGTACCAAAGTGGTCATTTGCTTCCTCAGCTTTGTGGTAGGTGTTTCTGAGCATCTTCACTTTAACTCTGCACTGCAGCGCATCCCAGTCATGGCCCCTCTCAGTCATGCATCTGGAGATCTTCCCGTAGGTATCATTAATTCCTACAGATGGAGCACAGCTAGGACCGAACTGCCTCCTCTCCCCAAATGCTGATGAGGTCCAGCACCTCAACATAAATCCAAGCAGGGGATCTCCTGGTGTGTGAAGCAGGCAAGGCCAGCTGGAAAGATGCGCTGAAAACATACCAAGCATTGCCGAGCAAACAGGAAGGGGACTTTCAAATTTCAAAAAGGCAGCAAAGGACAGGTCTGAGGGCTGGTCACATGACAGCAAGTCAGTAGAGTTCAAACATGACCAGAGGGGCAAGAACAGGAAGAATGCCGGAGGCCAGTCACGATATAGTACTACACCACAGTATCCACACTGGCACCCCAGTGCTGTATGCAGAGCACAGCAAGCTCTACACTTCTCATTAAGGTGGTTTATATAAAGCATAGCAACTGCAGAACTAGGGTGTACTAAGTGCCTTGCCAGTGAGAACACCTCAAAAGCTATAGCACTGGGGGCTGATTTATTGCTGCAGTAACTTGCTAGTATAGTCTTGGCCTCATACTTCTCTTGATAAATGCACAGTATTTTCTTATTACTGAAGTGCAGGAGCAATTAACCCTGAAGTTGATGAGCTTTAACCTCATAAGGGTAAATATGGGCTGAACTTGGGATTCTGAGCTACACTTTTGGCTGTCCTGTACTAGTGTCTGAGTGGTCTTTCATTTTTTAAGTCTTTAGAGGGTCTTGTTCACAATACAGTGTCAACTTTCTGCTCTCTCAGTGGTCTCTATTAAGTTAAATATTGAGGACTTTAACAAAAACAAGTTCACCCAATTCAAAGAAGGATTGAGCAGAATTAAATATTTATTTTAAGTAAAGGAAGTCATGACAGATCATTATGAAGCCACCTACAATGAGAGAGCTGGAAATTCAGGTCAGATTCAAGTACACCTATTAAATTTATTAATTTTCAGTAGTCTACATACAGCAGTAGGATGCAATCTGGAACATCTTGATCATGACCCTTCTCATTTAAAGGGTAACTGAAATGTGAAAGAATATATTCTAATCACTGCACCTAATTAGCAATGATTCATTGAAAAGATGAAGTATGTCTTAAACATTTCTAAAAAAGAATAATCAAAGAGAAACACATGGGATATAAAATAAGATATGCTGGTTCGTATTATCTCCTACTGTTTTGAATCCTCACTGCTTGTGTCACATGCAAAATTAGGCCCTGAGGCAATATCCACTGAGGTCAATGAAAGTCTTTCCCTTGATTTCAATGGACAGTGGATTAGGCTCTTATAATGCAAGTTCCTTAGGTTCAGGCCTGAGGGCTAAATTTACAAAGGCACGTAGGCACCTAAAGACACAGCAAGGTGATGAGTGGGGTTTCAAAAATTCATAGGCACCTACCTTCCATTGCAATCAATGGGAGCTAGATGCTTTAGAAAACCCCAGACGACTTTCCTGCAATTTTAGGCACCTAAATACCTTCGAAAAAACTGGCTCTGAACTATTTGTTTGTTCTGAAAGATCTGATCAAAGCCCACCAAAATCAATGGGAGTCCTCAATGGACTTTGGATCAGGCCTCAAGCACTAAGAACACTAAAAATACTAAATTATGAGACAAGTGACTGTCAAAGCTATCAGTTAAATTGTACTATTTTAATTGGTAAATGTAGCTACTGAACCACTATTAAATCTGTTTTTTTAAATAAAAACAGAACTAACCACGTAATCATGGAAGTCTTGTACCTTTTCAATACCTTCCAATGATAAATTGCATTTCATGTATTCAACCTATATACTAGCGAAGAGGTACAGCCTTACAGAGAACAAACAAGGTATCAGTTTTTTCAAGCAGACAGACCAGCACCATTCACCATTAAAGTTGAAATAGATACAACTATTTGAAAACTTTATGTAAAAAGTAATCTTTTTATTTATATATATATATATATTTTCTTTTAACTGTTAAAGTTATTAAGACACTACAATTTTCCTTTAAACTACTGGAATATGCTGTTATTTAGCACACGGTTTATCCCCCAAACATGCTCTTTACTTAGCAGAGATGGGGTTACATTTTATTTTTACGGTTGCCATACGATGAAGGTTTTGAGGTATAGAATATTGGAAAAATAGCTTACACATAACCCTGACTATGGTATTTGGGCCAATTGAATTCTGAAGACTAACCAGATGAGAAACTTTAAGAACTTTTTTCTGCTAAAGTCATGAGAATGCCCCTGTAATTTGCTGCATCCAGCTTCTTAACATGGATATATTAGAGAATTCAGAAATATAAAAATTATAGATTCATAGAAGAATGGAATTGGCCTACTCCTACAATTCTGAGATAGAAGTAGTGGGGACAATTTGGAAGATGTACAAATAGCTCTTATTTAAGCAATAAAGTAAGTGTGCAGTTGCAATTTGCATGAATGTAATTTTTAAAAAAATTAAGTAAACGTATACTTTGAAAAGTAGAGCTGAAAGCACAGTGTAAGTGCAACACTGGAAAATGGGGCCTTGTGGTAAAGTGCACATTTGATATGCCATGTTATTTTAAATACTGATGCAGAAGCGCTCTTGTAGTATATTAAAGCACAGTTGCCCACATTTTGATAATGTATTGCCTAATTAGGCTGTTATATTATTACCATCCAACCAGCACTGATAAGAGTTCATATAAGTTTACAAAGAAAAATCTGAAAATTCCAAGATTTAAGATCATCTCTTCTACAATTTACCTGTACAATTTACTGTTGTGCAAAAGAGCACTGAAAACCTCAGAACAGATTATAAATTTTGCCATGTCTTGTTAATACACTGCAGTCTTCAAATTTACACAGAGCTGCAGTTCTCCTGTTTTTTCTCAAGTGTCACTCATCTAATTTAGCATGACAACTGAGAAACGATGTCAGGCGGTTTACAGTTCAGTTTAAAAAACATCCTCTACCTGGTATCTCTGCAGTGATTGTCTTGCTGCTCCCTGAAACCTCTTCATCATCTTCTGATGAACTCGTGCTTGAGTCACAGGTCAGGTCACTATCACTGGTACTGCTGTCCTGCAGCAGGTTGTATTTCTTACGAGCAGCTGCCTCCCGTTTCTGTCTTAATAGCCGGATTCTCTCTTTGTGCTTTTGGCTCCGATGACCTTTTACCTTGGTGACTCGTCCATTCTGCTTATCACTAGACTGTCGATTTTTCTTGGCAGCCATAGTTGATGTTTCACTTTCAGACCTGGATCGTCTAGATTTTCTTCCAAGTGCAGCCCCAGAAACTCCAGAAGGGTCTCCCTCTACGGGAGCTTCAGCCTGACAGGGCTCATTCTCTTCTGCGGAAGACAGTGTATCTGAATCAGCCAAATGCCCACTGGAAGAAGGTGAAAGCATGCAGTGATTAGAAGAGTCACTCTCATAAATTCGGCCTGCAGTTGGCTTATCACTCTCTGTAGAAGCTAACTGAGACTCGGAGGAGTCCCGTCTCAGTTCCATCAGTAAGCATGGCATTGAGGAGAGCACCACCGAATCTGCTACAATGGGCACACCATCTTTCTGAGCATGTGTGTCTAGTTCTATAGGTCCATCTGCCTCTTGTTTTTCTGCAAGTTTTGGTGAGACTTCTGAGTCGAGTTCTTCTACTTTTCCCACTGCCTCCATCTTCATTTCAGAATTCCAAGTTCCTCCTTTGTCTCAAAGCATGGAGTCTAGAGGAGTGGGGGAACTAAATTATGTTTTCAACAGCAAAGCAACCTGCACAAGAACAGAACAGTAATGACAATTTACTCAAACAGCAGAGTCTCTCTACTTTTTTGGTCACGTTCAAAATTTCACCCAGTGATACCATTTCATTATTTAATTAAAGCTAGTATGGTTACATTATAATTTTGGTCATAGTACTTTTCCTTGGCTTCAGTCTTTTTCCTGGTTAACTCAGTCTGTTACATTGACATGCTTTATGCTTTCCCTTTCTTAATGAAGGATGGCACTATCATTGTATAAAATAGCACCGATTTTAGTGTATCACAAGAGATCAGACAAAAACGGCAACACTTTCTAAACTCTTACATTGGAAAGTTTAAATGAATACAATAAGCAAATTTGGAACTTGTATCTAGAAGCAATTTTTAATAATATACTTTAAAGGAAACTTTACTATTGGTAAAGTGTGCCATAACGAAACTCAAAGCCAAAAGTCTTCTACACGGTTCAGCTTCCATGTGGGAATCCAATGAATACTCTTAATCCAATTCCAGTAGCACTAAATCTTCGGAGGCACTGATTTAGTACTAAGTGGGTGGCAATGATTCACTTACAGTAAAGTACTAATAATACTTCATGAAACATTTAGGTGATTCTTGAAGGTCTCTGATATGAATAGCATAAGTTGATATGGCTGATGGAAGAAACACTTCCTATCCATAAAAGTTTCAACTACATCTTTTAATTCATGTTATGTTTGATGAACCACATTGTTCCATCTTAAATGTTAAAATCAAGCTGCCTTAGCAAGCTCCTAACTTATGTACCCACCCTTCATAATAGATGGGTACCTCCAAACTATTATAAATAAAAATAGCATTCTTTTACCTTCTTTTTATCATAGATTGCCTTACACCCACATTTTAAAATTCACATTTATGATACTAGATACCCACACAAAAATATTTCAATTATTATGCCCATTAATCTATGAATTAAGAGGGACAATCTGTTTAGGCCTAAGAACTGACATGTACTAAACATGGTAATTTAATAGTCAATATTCATTATTTTAAAAATATTTAATGTTATGTTCTAATTTCTGAGAGGGCTTTTTAAAAAGCTCTTTCTGCAGGATCTGGAAAAAATCAATGAGTACTTGTATAACCCTATATAGGAAGGATAAGCAACAGATAAGGTGCTAATCTAGAGTCAGAAATCCAGCTTCAATTCCCTGCTCCATTATAAACTTCCTGTGAGAGGCTGGGTACTTCTGTTCTTCAGTTTCCCCTCTTTAAAGTGGGCATAACAGTACTTCCTTGCTTCAGAAGATGCTGGGAAAGGCTTTAGGTTTTGTTACCAATCTCCACCTGAGTCACCCTGAATTTTGAAGGGGTTTTAAAAATATATTTCACTCCTTTCTAAGTGTCATGAGTGTCAGACACTATAGTGATGGGGATCATAATAAAAATACTTCAGACACCAGTGAAGGGGAGAAAAGTTTAAATTAATTTTTCACCGTATTGTATTAATGTTTACCAATTATTAGCTTCTTCAACAAGAAAATAAACTTGCCATATTAGTGTTGAGCAACATGAAAAATGCAAGGATGACAAATCAGGGTTTTCTAAAGAGAAAGTGGAAATTTCTAAGAGGAAATCAAAATTACAAATGCTAAAGAAAGCATGGAGAGGTATAGAGAGAAAAAAATATTTGATAATACCTGAAATAAGCAAAACTTAGTTTGAAACAAAATATGAGAAGGCCATTCTGAAACTGGTAATTTCTACAAAGATGATATATAACTGCTGAAAACCTACTTTCTCTGCCTCTTCAAATGTTATAACATACTACATGAAAAATAAGAAAGCCTTATAACTAGGAAAGTGAATACACAGAGATGTGAAGGCTTCCTTATACTATAATACTTTCTTGTGCTTCAGGGGCAAATATCAATAATATTAAATAATGTACCAGTCATATAGATGGAAAAAACAAGAGGCACAGAGAGGGTTACACATGGCATATATTATACTGGAAAATGAAATCCACAGCTTTGTCCACATTTGATGTTTTTAGCCTTTAATTCACTATGGCTGTGGGTAGTGCTGGTTGAAGCAGCAGAGTAGACAAGACTCACGTGAACTCAACCATTTGTAACTGAGTTCACTGAAGCTTTGTCTGCACTATTTTTCTCAAGGGCAACAACCAGAGAAGCTACACCATATAGGAATTAGAGGCCCAAGAAAAGCTGGTGGAGACAAAATCCA